ATCGCAAACGCCCACGCGCGCTCGGCGCAAAAGAGCGGCAGCATGAGCTGGCGCGCGTCGCGCACGCTCTCCGGCTCGAGCGGCCGCTTCACGTACCGCCCCTTGCCGTGCGTGCACCCCGTCACGCGACGCAGCCGGTGCAGCCGGCGCGAGCAGTACGAGCGGTACCGGCCGTAGTCGCCGTGCCGGAGGCCGTGCTGCGCCTGCGCCGTCTTGATGAGGTCGATGATGTCGAGGGAGAGCTCCGGAAGCTCCTCCTCAGGATCCTGCGCGTCTTGCATGGGCGCGTCCTCCTCCTGGTCCTCCGCCATAGCTCGGCGACGCACGGGGGGCGGATTCGGGTCCTCGACCGGGGTGGTGTCGTTGAGTTCCGACCTACCTGCCTACTCATCAGACCGCAAGGACCGCAAAAGACCCTCAAGAAACAGAACACGCACACCACCCGAGTCGGTCGTCACACTACACACGTTTTGTTTGTTTGTCAGTCAGCGGGCCGAGGCGACGGCAAGCAAGCAAGCTAGATGCTTACCTCGGCCTGCTTGCTGCTCCATATACGGTGACACGGGTTTTTGCAAAGAAAGGGTCCACCGTTGGCGTTGCTGGATGGAGCGTAGAGGTGCCTTCGTTCGTTGAAAGAGGAAACGCTCAGCCTCAGGCAGGGCGAGTTGGCAGTTGCGAGAGAGAGAGAGATTTTTGAAAACCAACAAGAAATCACGACGCTCACAGTGATTTGGGCTCGGCAGCTTGTCAGCCCTCCCAGCCGAAGCTGGGGCCGGTCCCGTAGCCGAGAGAGCCCGCGCCCTAGCCCGCGCCGTTCGCGGCGTGAACACAGCGGGCCCGAGGTTGTGCGTTTATGTGAATCCCCAGGGCCTCCAGGGCTCGCACCCCTCAACCTCTCTCACAGACCAGCGCACACCGTCCTAGCCGTCACGTATTTTCAACACCCAAAGACAGCTTGGAGAGCTCCCGGTCCCGCAACATTTCGTAACGATCGTCGCTATTGGCCATCTGCCTCCTGCAGCCTCTGTTGGGGTGGAATGCGCGGGGTTTTCGGCGCGATGCCTCCGGCGAGTATACGGTACTGCTCTGCCGCAAGCTCTCCTGCGCGCGCGTGACGTGTGGGGCGCGTGCACTGCGCTCGAAAGTCGCGATTTGGCAATAGGCGCTCGAGCCGGCGCGCACGAGTGGAAGGGGGCGCCGCACAGAGGGGTCGGGGGGGTGCGAGGGGGGGCCCCTCTTCCGAGCCGGCGCGTGGCGGCGAGCCGCGGCCAGTGTCGCTGGTGCGGTGGAGGCGCAGCGTGCATCGGCCGGCGGCGAAAGCGGCCTTCACGTCGATGAGGGGGGTTGTCAGGCGACTCGTGTGGCTCGAGGCCTACGCTGCGCCGCCCGAGCCCTACTTACTGCCGATCCAGCGCCTGGCGTTTGGGGCGAGCCGCGGTCGTCGTCGCTGATGGTATGGCGGCGGCGGCGGCGGCTCGCCCTTCCCTCCGGCCGCAATTCCGATCCCGTCGCGCTCGCGGGAGGTCGCGCGTATATATTTATAGACAGCAACGGCTATCCGTGCTGCTGTGCGCCCCCTGGTGCGTGGTTCCTTTCAAGTTCTTAGATCAACACCCAAGGATGATATAATAAGGCAAAAAGATCGTTGCGCCTTGCCGATCCGCACCTACCTAGGCTCTTGGGTGGCGCGCCACTCTTCACAACGAACCTGGTTCTCAGCGCTGCGCCTCTGTGAGCGACCACTCAGTCATCGCAACCACCTCATCCACGGGCGGCGACTCCTACGGCGGCGATCCTGGTCATGTCCTACGGCGGCGACGACTCCTCCATCCCGGACAAGCTCCGGCTCGACTACGCGCCCACCAGCCGCGCGTCCTGCAAGGGCTGCGGCCGCGGCATCGGTCAGGGCGAGGTCCGCTGCGGCGTCAAGGTGCGCTCGCAGTGGCACGACGGATTCGACATGCACTTCCACCACGTGGCGTGCGCCCCCAAGGCCTCCGGGCCCGGCGCCTTCAAGGGCGTGCAGCGGCTGCGCTGGGCCGATCAGGCGGCGCTCGCCGACGCCCTCAAGATGCCGCTCGATGAGAGCAAGCCGGCGGTGAAGAAGGCGAAGCGGCTCAACGAGCTGGTCTGGGGCGTGGTCGACAAGGTGGCGAGCGTGCCCAAAAAGCAGCTGCGCGAGGCGCTCGAGGAGAACGATCGCTTCATCACCGACAAGATGTCGCCCGCCGAGCTCGCCTACATGATTGGCGACTCGCTCGTGTCCGGGCTGCTTCCGCCGTGCCCGTTCTGCGAGTGCAATGCCCTGGTGGGGGAGGGCGGGATGATCCGCTGCGCCGGCTTCGCCGCCGGCACCACCTCCTGCCGCTTCTCGCTCGTCCTCGACTCCGTCTTTGACGAGCCGCTCGGCTCGGAAGAGATGCGCGGCCGCACCAAGCGAGCGGGCGTGTTTGAGCCCACGCAGCCGCTCGCGCGCGCGCTCAAGGACTGGTCGCCGCCGAAGGACGCGCCGGTGCTGGCGCTCGCTCCGGCAGCCGGTGCGGCCGGCGGCAGCGCCGCCGCCGGCCCGAGCGGCGTCAACATCCAAGGCAGCGGTACGGACGTCCAAGGCGGGGGCCCCAACGTCGAGCCGTTCCATGGCGATCTGCATGGTGATATCGACTCGGGGGACGACGAGGAGCTGGACGGGTCGTGCGACGCAAAGTACGTGATGGCGGGGCTCGTCGTGGCGT